GCAAACTAAAACGTGCGAATTGGATTGGTTATCGATAAGCCACAATTTACAATTCTATAGAAACTACTATATACCAGGATTAAGTAAAAGTACTAAAACGTTAAGAACGAATTAACTAAATTATAAATTACCTATATATCTGAAATATTATTGACGATCGTTAATATACTTACAACTTTCATCACGGGTTGCACAAACTGCGGTGGCGTGTACTCGTGAAGGCGGAATAGTGCAGAAGGCTCACAGTCCATAGTCATACGGCCCAAGGATTCCGAATACTCGATGGGACATACCAGGTACGGGTAATTGGGCCATCCAGTACGATAGCTGCAATTACAAAGGAAGAAGGTACGAACATACAATTGAGTTGTATATGTTTGAAGCATTTGTATATATTAGAATAAAACGTTAGAATTTAAAAACAATTTCAATTTCAACTTTTTTAACGAAGGCTTTTAATATGCGGTATTTATTATAAATATATACAGGGTTACTTGGTAAGTGGACCTTAATACTTTAAGGGGTTGTAGTGGGCATCATTTCTAATAGATTTCATTATGAAATACCATATCCCAAAAATAAGCAATTTCTAAATATTAGACTTTTAAGATTTTTTATAAAAATCGCCCAAATTTTGCCTAACACATTTTTTTTAGAACTTTTATTTTGTGCTTTTTTACTATTTTTGTGTAGTTGATAAATTGTTTTATAATTTCAATTACTAACATTGTAATTAAATTAACAAACTGGACCGAAGTTAAAATATTTTTTTTCTTTGACAAATATCATGAAAAAATCTATGACAGAGATCTCATCTATTTTCTGTTTTTATCTAATTAGCTTCGATTATTACAAAAAACGGATATCGTGTGATTTTTATACGTGTCTATAAAATATAAGCTTACCAACAATCCAAAGACAACAGTAGAGAATCCACCTCCAATGAAACCTTCCCAGGTCTTCTTAGGGCTGAGCTTGATAAGCGGCGTCTTACCGAAGAAGAAACCGAACACATACGCCATCACATCGTTGCAGATTATCATGGATACAGGAACTATGAACCAGATGAGACCTGCAGAGAATGATGTTTAATGTAATTATAGTATAATGTTACATATGATCATCGCCATTTTTTTTTTTACTTATATTTTATTTCACTATAAAAATATTAGTAAAACTAGAAATAACTAACAATATAACATAGGGATGAATGTTCTTATATGCCAAATCCGATATATGAAATTGCCAATGTGAAAACAAAAAATAGATGCTAAATAATATTATAAACGAAAAAACCAGTGATCTTTTGTTTGTGACAATTTTAGAATAGGGTGCTTTCTCCAAAGGAGTCCTAATTGGCTAAAAATCTACAATAAAACAGCGAAACCACTGTGTTTTTTTTTATAGACAACTAAAAGCATTAGGCATCACCCGCATTAGGAATATATCCTGTGCCGCGGGGGACTTTAAAAACATATATTAAACGAACACAAAGAACAACCTGACTCAGAACGACAATTTGTGTATCACAAAAAGTGATGTCGCATGTGTGATGTGGGGCCGCCACATCACTCAGCGCCGCAGGAAGCGGCGAGGTGGCCGCTTAAACCACAACGCTATCCGTGTAGTTAAAATAATTATGATGTTTTAGGTATTTTAGAACATCGATGTTTTATATTTTGATATTTTATCGTACATTTATCAAAATTTCAGATTCGATGTTAGACCATTATTGAGATTGTATCATAATCAACAGCCTGTAACAGTCCACTACTGAATACTGGCCTCTCCTTAGAAAGGTTTGGGATTGGTATCTAGTTTTTTTTTAATTGTAATCTGTAGTTTTACGAATTAAAATTAAGGATAAACAGTATTTCTTATGATTATGACTATATATTCTTGAGTATTAGTTATGACTTCCTTTTATTACATACTTCTTTATTTATCTAATCTACTATGAGTAAGTCTAAAAAATTCATGGCTGCTTAATCTGTAACTTTCTCGAAATTCTATTTGTCTAGTCATATTTAGTCATTTATTTGTATGTATGTACTTAGAAGTTATATTACACACAGTAAAGGAGTATACTTAATATTTACGTAACACTACATTTGAGTGAACAGTATTGGCATGGTCTTTCGAACCCCAACGAAATCTGGGATAGGATTCGTGGAAGCTCGAAAGAAAGACCATAATATTTCCATAACTCGATTGTATATATAATAATATACTTACATAATTTTCGAAAATAGGTGTACACAACAGTGTATGCAATTATACTAAAGTCTCGCGACACCAGGATAATTCCCCCTGTGCTGGAACCTCCATTAAACCGCTATGAAAGCCACCTATTACGTTTTACCTATAACGCGATATTATGAGACAATTATAAATAATCATATGACTACAAGTAATAAAGCAACTGCCATTTATATCGATATGATCATCGGTATCCGGTAGTTATGCGGTTTTTCTGTTCAGTAACTAGGTACGTCGTTTTAAATATATCATTTATTGTTTAAATAAAACCACCACACATACGTATACATACATAAAATCTATAGTCAACGGTTATGTAAGCTGCTTTCAACTAAATCTAATTATACATTTCTACTGCTTGTTTTTCTTCTAATATTGTGCATGTGGATGTACATAGTTTATTAAAATGTAAAACCAGTAACGTGAAATAATTTGATTTAGTAACTGACATGCAACAAGAGGCAATCTAAATTAGATTTAAGTATCGGTACATGACTCGATAAAATTGTGTGTTGCTCATTTCTGCTTAAAATAGGTCAGTGTTGTACGCACCAGGTATTACCTGCTAAGATATTAGTAGAATGTAATCTAGTTTCTAAAGGATGAACTAAGATTAGTATCCGGAGTAAAACAGTACCCATAAATAAATCTGAATAAAGGTTGAATAATTATATCCTACAAACAATAATTAGTTAAAGTCGGTGCATCTGTGCATGCAATATCTCGTCACAAGCAGTTATCTGTACAAATCATTAATATAAGTAGCACACGATGCTAATTGAAATGAGTAAAGTAGAAAAACTTGTAAAAGTGTTAATATACAATGTTGGGAACGTGTTAATTAATACCGGTTTATTGATTTTGCTTAGATGTGATAGTCTAGTTACATTAATGTAAAAGTTACAGACTTCAGAGTAGATTATATGTGCATTGAACTAATGTTAATCATACAAACACTGTCTTTTGACTCTTGCCATCTTTTCGAGTTCAGTAGAACTAGTTTGGAACAATCATTGTCTAACAAATCAAATACTATGTTTTTTTTGGGATAATTAGAACTACGATGACACAGCACTGTTAACAATCAACATCGCATAGTCTGTGGCATAACTCTAAAACTGTACAAAACTCATTTTTATATGCAGAAACACTCAAAATTATTCAAATTTTTGCATTTAGTGGAATGGGTAATCTAATGATATATTTAAATGTTACAGTCATTAATTGTATGATGTATGTTTACAAAAGTAATACTTTTTTTTATGTTAAAGGGGGCAGACGAGCAGACGGATCACCTGATGGAAAGTGACCATCGCCGCTCATGAACGTCTGCAACTCAGGAGTCACAAAAGCGTTACGGCCGTCTAGAAGGAGTAGGCTCTTTTCTTGAAGGTTGGAAGATCGTATCGGTCCGGCAATACTTTGTACCATAGTGCGTAAATCGGAGACAAAGTCACGCTTAAATGTACGCACATAATCATACGATATAATGAATGTATTTTCTCTAAAACCAATTATATTTTTAACGTTTAAATTTTAAAATTCGATTTGTCTGAATTTAGTGACCTAAAACTCAACAGTAGAATATTATAATTTTATTTATTAACCTACTATAAAAAAGGAGACGGCTCTTATATTAACTGGATGCGCATTGACACTTTTTTTTAAGTTAATTATGATAGCAATGTGTTAATTTTATATATTTCGATATTTTGTTTCGAAATAATAAACAAGTCTTTTAAACTTTCTCGTTTGATTGTTAACAAATGTATTTTAGGTATCAAACAATAAAGGTAACCGCTTGTCATACTGACTTTTCATTTCTTAGTTGAGTCATCCAATAGATACTGTCAGCAATCGTCTTGCCAATATTTAAAGTAATAGAATATTTGAAGTACAGTAATAGAATATTTGAAGACTATACAGTAATATCGAGAGCATCGTAAAGTCCGAATTGCCGATAGATACAGTATCTATTGGATGACTCAACTAAGAAATGAAAAGTCAGTTCAATTTGTCTCTGGAGAAATTAAATAGGTATACATTTATGTGTGAACTGGTGTGTTAAATGTAATCCGCTAGCAGTCAAAGTTATTAAGACAAAACCACAGATTTTACCGTTATCTAGATAGTATTTTAACAAACATAGATCTACCCATCTAAATAAAAAAAAAAAAAATTATTCTCTATGTGTCCCGAAACCATTGATCAGATTGTGATGAAACTTTGGTAGGGTGAAATGGAACGTACGCGAGGTTTCCTGGCCCAAAAAACTATATTTGTTTGTTTTTTATATATTTATTAATTTATTTATTATATTCATAATTTATTTATTTCTTTACAATTTATTTGACGTTGCAACGCATGGCGGCTATATATATTTTCATTATTAATCTATACATCTATTATATTCATACTGAATAGAAAAACCACTTATTTTGAAAAAAAAAAAACTTATCTGACAAAGTGTGGACAAAAAAGTGTGTGTGATAAGACTACATGAGCCGTTTATACTTGTCGCTGTTGCCACCATTGCAAGGAATGAAAAATGATTATATAACGTCTATAATTAGTAATTTAACTTTATAATAGAGTAGTACGTCACAATGTTGTATATGCCTTCAACAGCGGTAACAATGTCCGAGGTCGAAGATCAAACGTCTAATATTAAAATACAATGTTTACTGGATACCTGCAGTCGGTACCTACTGTCTGAAAGCGTTTTGAAGACACTTTTACACATCACTATATGTTTGCTTTAACTTTAATTTTTAAACAGAATATTCAAGAGGTGCTAGGGGGACACTGTCCGATGTTGTAAGGCTATGAGTTTGTTCAAATGAGAACCACAGCAGTTCTAGTGCAATGGGACTATTACCGCTGGTGGTCGAGTATGCTGGGACTATGAGTAGTGTCACCTATACCTACTGCGATTATAGAGTGCACACAGTATTGGAAACTGTGAGGTTTACAGAGAAAAAAGGATATAAAAACAGTCTGAGTTTGAGTGAACAGCAGTGGCATGGTCTTTCGAACACCAACAAAATCTGGGATAGGTCGTGGAAGCTCGAAAGAAAGACCATACTATTTCCAAAACTCGATTGTATATATTATTAACTTTGATAATTTTCAAAATAGGTGTACACAGTGTATGTAATTATACTGAAGTCTCGCGACACCAGGATAATTCCCCTGTGCTGGAACCTCCATTAACCGCAATGAAAGCCACCTAATACGTTTTACCTATAACGCGATATTATGAGACAATTATAAATAATCATATGACTACAAGTAATAAAGCAACTGCCATTTATATCGATATGATCATCGGTATCCGGTAGTTATGCGGTTTTTCTGTCAGTAACTAGGTACGTCGTTTTAAATATATCATTATTGTTTAAATAAAACCACCACACATATGTATACATACATAAAATCTATAGTCAACGGTTATGTAAGCTGCTTTCAACTAATCTAATTATACATTTCTACTGCGTGTTTTTCTTCTAATATTGTACATGTGGATGTACATAGTTTATTAAAATGTAAAACCAGTAACGTGAAATAATTTGATTTAGTAACTGACATGCAACAAGAGGCAATCTAAATTAGATTTAAGTATCGGTACATGACTCGATAAAATTGTGTGTTGCTCATTTCTGCTTAAAATAGGTCAGTGTTGTACGCACCAGGTATTACCTGCTAAGATATTAGTAGAATGTAATCTAGTTTCTAAAGGATGAACTAAGATTAGTATCGCGAGTAAAACAGTACCCGTAAATAAAGCTGAATAAAAGTTGAATAATTATATCC